AAAGTGGTTATACTATTGTTACTGTGAATAAGCATAGCAATATTTTTTTTTAGATAGAGTCTCAAGTTGTTGCCTGGGTAGAGTGCTGTGGCATCATAGCTCACAGCAATCTCCAACTCTTGGGCTCAAGCTACCTTCTTGCCTCAGTTTTTCTGTTTTTAGTAGAGATGGGGTCTTGCTTTTGCTCAGGCTGGTCTTGAACTCGTGAGCTCAAGCAATCCACCTGCTTTGGTCTCCCAGAGTGCCAGGATTATAGGCGTGAGCCACTGTGCCTGGCAAGCAGAGCAAATTATATGAACAGGTTTAGTATTTCATGAAATCAATTACCTGGCTGAAGAACATTTTCTTACTACTTTACATAAAGACCATCAGTAACTAGAAAAGATTACTTGAAAAGCCCAGCTATTTTACCTTGACAAAAAATCTCCCACCTATACACAAGGAAAGGAAAGGAAAGGAAAAGAAAAGAAAGGAAAGGACCTCCAATAAATCAACAGGAAGGAAAAATGTAAAGCTACACAAGAGAAAAACAAGTAAGAGAAAAATCTAAGCAGCCAGGTTTGGCATCCGTGGCTCAAGCAGCTAAGGCGCCAGCCATATACACCTGAGCTGGTGTGTTTGAATCTAGCCCAGGCCTGCCAAACAACAAGGACAGCTGCAACCAAAAAATAGCCAGGAGTTGTGGCGGGTGGCTGTGATCCCAGCTACTTGGGAGGTGGAGGCAGGAGAATCACTTGAGCTCAGGAGTTGAAGGTTGCTGTGAGCTATGATGCCACAGCACTCTACCCAGGGCGATAGCTTGAGGCTCTGTCTCAAAAATAAATAAATAAATAAATAAAAAATAAAAATCTAAGCAGCCAGTAAGTCTAAGAAACGATGATCAACCTCAGTAGTAATTCAAGTTGTAATAACAAACAACCACATATTGCTTTCAATCTATCTAATTGACAAATGTTTCAAAGTCTGACAATACAAACACTATTGAGAATATGGAGGGAAAATACCCAAGGTTAGAAGGAAAAAGAGAATATGGAGGGTGATAAACTGATGCAGCCATTTTGGAAAGCAATATGACTGTCTAGTGAAGATGATGGTTGTAATACTTGGAGGCAACAATACATAATTGGTCCTAATTATAGACATATTTCCCAGAGAAACTCAAACATGAATATGGAACAACTCACAGAAGACAATACCTAGAACTGTATTAGGAGAAAATATTTAACAACAGCCTAAACATCTATTAACAAAAATTTGGGTAGAAAATTTCAGGGTAGTCATGCAATGGAATCTAATCATCAATGAGCATGAATAAACCACATCTACCATGTATCGTTTATGGAGGATTTCACAAATAACCTTGATTCAGAGAAACAATTTGCAGAAGCATTTACATTCTATACATATATAAGTATACTGTATACATATGTAGCTTAAAAATGTGCAACATTTTATATTGTTTTAGGATCCATACATTTCAGGTGGCACCTGTAGCTCAGTGGGTAGGACACCAGCCACATATACCCAGGCTGGTGGGTTCAAACCCAGCCCAGACCAGCTAAACAACAAAAATGACTGTAACAAAAAAATGGCTGGGCATTGTGGCAGGCACCTGTAGTCCCAGCTACTTGGGAGGCTGAGGCAAGAGAATTGCTTAAGCCCAAGAGTTTGAGGTTG